TGTATTTCTCTTTGTTGTCGTCGTTCGATATACAATTTTTACATAAGTTACTTTGATAATAACGTAGTCTTAATCTGTATGTTAAAGTTGTAGTTAAAGTTCTCTTTATGATATCACGATTCTATTGTCTTAATTCTATAAATAATTATTACATAACTTACTTTGAATGTAACATAGTTTCAATCTATATGTTAAATATATTGTGAAAATGATCCGTCGAAATGCGAATTTATGTTTATTTTTCGCATAAATTACTTTGTTTCCAAAGTCTTAGTCTGTATGTTAAAGTGATCGTTAAGTTAATCCATGGCGTCTTTATAAAATGAGAAATTGACGATTCTCCGAAATTTGTATTTATTTTTGTTCTTAATCTGTATGTTAATGTTGTTGTTAAAGTGATTGTTAAAATGAACTGTGTTATCTTTTTATAAACAAATATTGCATAAGTTATATGTTACAGTTATTGTTAAAGTAATTATTAAATTGTTATTTTAAAGCGAAATATTCAGCATTATTGTTGTTGTTGTCGTTATTATTTTATAAGTTGCTATGGAACTAACCTAATATTAATCTATATGTTAAAGTTGTTGTTAAATTGATACATTAATGCCATTTTAAGCATGATATCAGCGATTATGTTGTCGTTATTCGAATAAGTATTGCTTAGGTTCTTTGTAAATAACATAGACTTAATCTGTATATTAATGTTGTTGTTAAAATAACTGTTAAATTGATCAGAAATGTCTTTTTAATGCAAGATATTAGTGATTGCGTTGACATTATTCGTTAAATAATTAACTAATTTTATAATATAATAATTAATTTAGTCTTAATCTGGATATTAAATTTATTATTTAAGTAATTGTTAAATTGATTCATGACATCTTTTTAAATAAAATATCAGCGATTCTTTTGTTGTTATTCGGTATATAATGAATATATTACAAGTTAATTTTGAAATAACATATAGTTAATTTATCTGTTAATGTTACTGTTAAATTGTCTAGAAGTCATGAAATATTTTTAGACAAGATATCACAGATTCACAGAAATCTAAATTTGTTTTTGTTATCGTTGTTTGGAAATAGCCTAATCCTAATCTAAATTTATGTTAAATTTATACTTAAAGTAACTGTTAAATTGATCTGAGATATCTTTTTAAAGACGGTTAATCAAAATTTGGACTTCTTTTTGTTCAACGACAGTTATATGGTAAAACCGCTTTGTTATTGACTTAAACGTAATCTGTATATTAAAGTTGTTGTTAAATTGATTCATGATGTGTTTTTAGTAAAAAAGTCAGAGATTCTGTTGTCATTTTTCTGTAAATAATTATTACATATATAGCTTTGAAAATAACATAGATTTCATACAAATGTTAAAGTTGTTGTTAAAATAACTCTCCTTTGAAGCGAAATATCAGCGATTCACCGAAATCTATATTTTTTGTTATTGTCGTTACTTGTTGAATAATGAATATATAAGTTGCATTTGAAATACCCTATTCTTTATTTGGATGTTAAAGTTATAATTAAAGTAACGGTTAAATTGATCTGAGATGTCTTTTTACATTGAGATATTTACTGTTAATCAAAATTTGAACTTCTTTTTGTTCAACGCTAGTTGTTCGGTAAAACCATTTTGTTGTTGACCTGAACTTAACCTGTATGTTAAAGTGAT